GGTGAGGCTGGGATCCAAAGCTGATGGATAATGGTCTGACAGTGTTGGTACAGGTGTCTGTGGTCTGAAGGTTGCGAGCTCCGACTCCCCGGAGATACTGGTTCGCATGGGGTAGGGCCATGCATCATGATGGCTAAGGGATCTACCGTCCACGCCCCGGACGCGAGGAGGTGCTACCGCTCGACCGGACGCGTCGGTATACGTGCAAACTTTGCCAGCAAAGTCACTGATGAAAGGGATAGTGCTGAGTTATGACGGGGCTTCTGGATCGATGATGGCACGCACCAGTTGGAACAAGGTTGAGTACCTTCGCACCTCCTTTTACTGCGATGGCAAGCGTCACATGCCTAGTGACAGTCGGTAAGTCTCCGGAATACCTCGTTGTAGGCTATAACAGAGGGAGGGACAACCCACCTTGGCAAGACGCTTGCGCTTTACCGACTTTGGAAGGGTTGGAGAGGGTGGTGAATTCTGAGAAATAGACTGGGATGTACCATCCAGTTGACTCGTGCCGAAAAGATTGGTGTGAGTGAAGGTAGGAGAGAGGGGAGTGTTGGGCACGGATAACGAGTCGCCGTCCTCAACGGGCGTCACTAGTGTAGGTTGAACAGGCGACACTGAGGATAGCTGATATCGGTCCATAGCAGTGGGGATTTGTACTAGATAGCCTCCTTGTAGGTCCTGGTCTCGGCTGAATATGTTGAGGCTTCCGAAAGAGGAATGACGATTAGCAGCCACCGCAAGCATAGAACTGAGAGACCGAACTCTGACGAGCCGGCTGATGACGAAAAGTAAGACCTGCCAAGAAATGTAAAAAAGGAACAGAAAGATGATTTGTTGGAACCAAATGGGGCTAGTTGACGAGTGTATGCGAGCAAGAGATCGAGCCGCGGTACGGGATGGTCTGGGTCACAGCGCAGGAAAAATGTTTGGCATAGTGAACGTGAGTGGTGTTTATATAATTTGCAAAACGATCGATATTCGAGGTTCAGAATTCCATTCAGGTACAGAATGGAACTCTTCTGTCTCAGTAGAGGGATGCTGGCGAATACTCCATGTGACAATTAGACCCCAGAACGCTTTTGTTGGGACCTGAACGTCTATGAATATTCTGAAGAAACTCGAGGCTTCGAAATTTCGACAGCTGCGGTTGCTCTCAGGCATGCTTGTCCGGCTCTCCCATCCTCCAGCTACCAATCTAAGAGCTTACATTTGATAAACTAACTACCGATCATACAGTTTTGGAAAAAAACACTAATTTGGATAAATTTCGCCTCTGAGCTCGCCAGAATGTTCAGGCGAAAAAGAGTGTTCCTTTTGGGGAGCGAGTGGTACAATGCCTGCGTGGCATTCACCCACCGCATTTGTACCTAAAAGGTGTTAATGAAGATCTCGTCGGATTATCACTCCGGATCGTCCGGGTGCATTCTACGTACCACTTGGACCTATAGAGCAGGATAATCAGTTCCTCCGTAGAGCGACTAAGCCTTTTTTTACGCTCACCGTGCAATAACTGCATTCCGACGGACGCCCTTGGAGCCATCGTCCAGGGCCGTCTGTAGCTCTCGTAAAACACGGGACTTGTAGGGTTGAATATCTTCTTGCTTCATTTTGTCTGGTATGCCTGCCAAAAGCCGCAGAGCACTGCTTTTCAATCGCTAGAGGCAGGGGCATCAAGCATAAGTGCCCAGTATGAATTATATATTTCATTCCAGTGCATGGTAAACTTACTAAGTAGGATTGGGAAGACCCTTGGGTAGATGTATTGCGAAGGATTACGGGGACGAGCGACCCCAAATGACTGGAAAGTACGGCTAAACCTTGAGTCTCGCCCTTCGCTTCAATAATGGCGACCAATGCCTCTATGATGTTGGTTCGTAAAGATACGTCCTCGAGTTGTAGACCTTGCATCATGAGTGGAAAGAGCTTTGTGCCGAAGTCACTATCTTTCTTCACACGAAGGCTGCTCTCACCTCTGTGATCGCGGAAGAAAATGTTTCTTTAGGGACTGAAGAGATCAATACGGATATTACGGTTAAGCAAGCGGCCTTCTTTGTGGAGGCTGTGAATTATCAGTCGACTTGCAGTTTATAGTAACTGTGGCGGCGTACTGATTTCCGTTTGGAAATCCTGTCGGATCTCCGGTACAATGACATTAAACAATTTTTGGGCATGAAGGAGCTATTTTTTAACGATCAAGTCTTTATCGATCACTGAATCCGGATACATTAAACCCACTCACTCTAATTATCGCGTGGTATTTGTGATTAAGTACAGAGTCGCCCAGGTTTGGTATCGATCCAAGGGCTCGACTTGCATGTCCTGAAAGGTTCTTCTCATTGAATAAGACGAGGAGTTGGCTCGCTAATTTCACGCCTGTCGGGTGATTGCATGCCACAAGTGCTTGAGCCAGCTAGGCGATGAGAATTAGAACGAGATAATTAAACCGTTTCTGGATAGCTTACACGTTTCCATATTCCCAAACTCTGGATTTTTTGGTCTGGAGCCGGACCTTCTTGTATGACGTAGGTGCCCCAAAAACTATTCATCGATATATTGATAAATTCGGAACATTCTGTAGAAATTTATCATGGACTTGTCCATTACGGGTAGTCAGGCACGTGCACACCTTTAGCGTGTTTATTCAGGATTGACACAACTACGTTCGTTAGAGCCTCCCTTTCCTTTGAGTCTTCACTGAGCACGGCCCCATTAATTAATTTGTCCAGTAATTCGCTGATGTTCGCTGTAGGTAACCGTGTCTGATGGATGGCCGGTGAATAAGAGCAAACAATTATCGAATAAAATACCGACCTCTACCCTCAACCCAATCAACGCAGCGGCAAAAAGCGGCGCCAGAAAAGATGTTGATTTCGTCGGAGATGTCTGAAAAAAGATTGTGAATTGAGGCTATGGGGACATATGCATACAAACCTGCAAGGGTTCATATCCAGAGTGTCCTGTACGGGATGAATGCTCGAACGCAATCAGATCAAATTTCCCGTTAAAGAACGCGTCGAAGGCCGATTGTGCCCAAACTTCCTGGCGGCTATATAACCTTTTTAGTTCACCTTCCTGGGAATGGGACTAGAGAGCTCACGATTGGCTTAAGGAAGCCACGACTAGTGCAATGATCTCGGCTGCATCCGCTACGATGATCTGATTTCTGCTAACGGCCCTGGTCGTCGGGGTGGCCTGTGTAGTACTGAAGAACAAGAAATATACACGAGGTATGAAACGCTCTATGTACTTGGGAAGATCCGGATCACTGGCATTGTGTTTGGTAAGGACGGCAGAATAGAGCGTTTTGAGCAATGCATGTATGTATCCAATCGCAGCCTCAGTGGTCCGTTGATCTTGGTATTCCACTCCCATCAAGAGTTCGACTTTGGTGAACAGACGTACGACAAGAATAGAAAATAGGTCGGCTTGAATACAAAGACTCCCGAGACATGTCAAGGCATGCACACAGCGCACATACTCTTCGTCGTCTCTATCCTTACTGGGAGCCTGATCAGGGAGGAGGGCGAAGAGCGAAGGTAAGGTAGTGTCTTCTAGAGTCTTCGGTGAAAGGGTTGATATGTGTTGTAACAATGCTAATATCTCGATTGTAAGGTCATCCTCGGCCATGGGGGCGTTGAGTAGAGCATTAGTTAAGTTTTGGGCGATGTATATCAGCTCCTCCCCACTCAATATAGTGGCCTGAACGAGTCGGTGTAGGCAGAGTAAATTCGCTTCTGCCGTGCTTCCTGACTCCAGACCTGATATAAACCGACTTAATAAATCGTCCTTGAAGCTTCTTAGGGGAGAAATCGAATGGTCAGGAGTGCCTGAGGAAGGCTTGACTTGGATCATAGCATCTAAAACAGCGGCGAATACCGTCAGGACTCCTTGACGGGTTGATGGCTCTTTATCGTAGGAGTTTGTCATCTGAGGGACCAAGGCATCCAACACTAGGGATGCAATATAATCTAGGGATACAATAAGTCTTCAGACATTGTAAGTGTGATCTTCCTTTACCAGAGCAGCTAATAAATGTCACAATAACCTTGATAGCAGCTTGTCCACGGGTCGTTGTCGGTTCGTTCAATATCTCTAAACAGTTGCGCAGAATACGCAGGCCTATTCCTTCCAGTGAAGATTGCTCGGGATAGCAGGTCTGAATTAAGACCTTGGTCACTTCCAAGGCCTTTTCTTGAACTTGGACATCAACAGGCTGGAATATCTGATTGAAAGTGGTTAGAAAGTCTTGATTTATGTTATATGGCTTGCTTCACTTCTATTTT